GAGACACTAGGTCTTATTTTCGGGGTAGGTCTTACTTTCGGGGAAACATGGTAGTGGCAAAAAACACTGGGGGTGAGGGGGAATCTTTGAAATTAAGGTTTATTTATTTATAGGGCTGCAACAAGGAATCGATTAAATGGATAATAATCGATTATGGGAATAGTTGGCAACTATTGAGTGAGAGAGATTGAGAGATTTTTTTTGTTATGCAACCGATCGATAAAAATAATCCGGCAACTAATCGCTCCTGAAAAAATTTAGAAGTGCAGCGAAATGAAAATGTTAAAAACGAAACCGTAATGAAAAACAATCTCGGTCCGAAACCAAAAATTGTTTTTTTCAAAATGTTTAAAATACAGTGTTACCTCTGTTCACAAACGCTTCTGTTCGCGAACAGGAAGTTCGTCAAAATTTTGCTTCCGTTCGTGAACTCCTCATCGGGTGACGAACACAACCGCAGCTATCTTCCCCACTCTGACACATGGCTGTGGCTTCCTCTAGTCGAGATCGCGGTCTGATCACAGTTTGATTCGGTTCGCGACCAGAATCGTGGAACAAATTAAGTTTGTGAACTGAGGCAGCCCCTGTTCTAAAGGAACAGGAATCCTCTATACTCAGAGTTCCTGTTCATTCATAACATGAGGACATTGTGTGTTTACTATAACCACAATCATGAATGAACAGGAGGTGATGTAGATCACTTCCCATTCATTCATAATTGAGGATATAGTAATCATACTCTGTCCTCAATTATTTACAAACACTCAGCGATCACTGAGTGTTTGTACTCTCTCCATCCTGACACGCTGTCACAGGAGGCTGGGCGGGGCGGTGTGAGAGGAGAGCTCAGCCTCCTGTGACAGCGCTGGCTGTCTTCATCCACACCGCCGCTCTCCTGACATGTAACAGGAGGCTGAGTGGTGTGGGAGGAGAGACGCCAGCCGCACACAGCGCTCTCCTCTCGCAGCACTCGGCCGCCTGTGACAGTTTCTCTCCTCACCGCTGGTACACAGAACAGCGGGGAGGAAAGAAAGCAGGAATGCGCCGCTGTATCGGCAGATAAATGGCACTTTCGGAATTATGCCAAAAGTGCCATTTTCGGCCAATATATCAGTGCATCCCTAAGGCCTCATTCACACTGCCGTGCGTATTGTGCCATATGCAACACATGCAAATAAATGGCTCCATACACATAGCCGCTTATGGAGCCGTATATTTGCGTAGCGCATATATATGCGCAAAAACAGAATGGAACAGAGATGCGTCCGGGCAGCGTATTGCTGCATATTTACGCGTCCTTGCGTACAGCACATTAAAAATTCCATTACGAGTGATGCATTCTGGGATTGTATAGACGCTCGTATATACGCGTATAGATGCAATATACAATTTTGCTTGCGTTGTGTGTGAATGAGGCCAAAAAATAATCGTTAGCTGCAGCCCTATTTCTTTATTATTTTTTGTTTGGTTTTGCTTTAATAATGAAGTTTTAGTTCGGGCTTTCAATGCGGGTTTGAAGTGTCTAACATCTGTCCAGGAACAAATACACAAATGTAATGGCTATCATCTATCTTCTTACACAGGAACAAACTGCAGCAACCAAACACAGAATTTCCTTTAAGTATATTACCTTATCATTTCCAGTGATGGGGATGTGCTCACTAGTATAAAGTATATATGCCTGTCTGTCTGAGGACGAGCACGCGTTATCATGTGCTCCATGTACTGTATCTGGTTTCCGATGTCATTTTGTTTTTATGACAGGAGATGACAGTTGTTTGTTCCTGGGCTTATGTATGCTTTACACTTGTTTGCACAAGTTGTATAAGATTTACAGAACCTAATAGAGGATTGTATTTTATTTGAACAAGATCCCTATCTAGGACCCTTGAATAAAAACGGTAACCAAACAGATAAATGTGATAGCTGAAATACATATATGTGAACTATATTACCTAGCAAACATTCATTATTTTGTCCCTCTTCCCTCAAAGTGAGGAGATGTTCTCACTGTCACCAGAGCACATGTCCTCTTTGGAAGATTTGTCCTAGTAGAAAGTGTCAAATTTTGGATTTCTCATTACTTTCTGTCTTGAAAACAATCACCAGGACAAGGCGAAACTTTGCAGGGGTTCTAGTGCTCCCACAAACTTTCCAAGGCTAAAAAAAAGTTAGGGCTGCCACCAACAAATTGATTAATCGATACTAATCGATCGATTTTATGAGAATAGTTGTCAACTATTCTCATTATCGATTAGTTGGTTGGATCTCCTAGCTCTCTCCTCCACGGTGGAAGTGGAGGAGAAGTGCACCTGCCCACTGCTGAAAGCAGTGGGCAGGTGCAATAGCCAGCCTGCTTTTGGCTACTGCAATTTAAAATGGCTATTGCACCCCCCACTGCCTACTGTATTTACATTCAGCTGCCGTCTGTGGAGTCTTGCCACTGGCATTCCCTGGCTGAAGCTGTTCATGTGCTATGTGCTTATAATACAATTATTTTTAAAAAAATTATAAAAGGTGGGAAAAGAGTGATGTTCTGTTTTGGCCTGATTAATTCTGCTACGGGATGTGTATTTCAGTGGCACCCCAAACATGTCAGCCGCACTTGGAACGCGCGGTACTGCAATGCTGTGCATTCCAGTGCAGTGCAATTGCAAAAAATTGTGCATGCAGATTTATTCTGAAGTAAATTTTGTAACACTCCATTTGTGTATTTCATTTTAAATTAAGGATGATGTTTTGTTTTTTTATCCGCTTATTAGAAAAAATAATCGGCCAACTAATCGATTTATGAAAATAATCATTAGTTGCTGCCCTAATATGTACACTTTAATTGGATCTTAATGGTCCGCAACATTTGACGCCTATCTCCAGGCAAATATTAACCCCCGACTCTAACTGATCATACTCTTTAAAAACATTTAAATGCCATTTTTACCTAAAGTGGCATGAATGTGACGCTCAAGTCCCCATTTTTTCTGTCCTCTATTGTTTATATGAAGCCGGGTCCTTCGTAAGGTGTTCATGTCACTGCCAGCATAGTGTGAACACTTCCTATTGGCTGTCCAGTGGCAAGGTCATTTCAGGATCCAGAAGAGTGACGACAGTGCGAGGGGACTGCAGGGGACCAGTCAGCATGGGCACATCTGCAGCACTGGATTAGTGGTCCCCACACCCAGAAGCAGCGCTGGTGGCATAGGTCAGTATAACTTGCTTTACAAGGTGGGGGAAAATAAAAAGAACATGCAGGATGGGGATTAATGTTTGCCTGGAGATTACTTTAACCGCTTGCTGTCCGCCCGTTGTGAAAAAAAACGGACACACTCACACGGGCGGGTTGCCGTCATTAGACGGCATTTTTTTCCTGCTCGCGCGCGCCCGGGCAGAAAAAACAGTGTCCGTTCTTTGCAGCCGTCTTGGCTGTTTCACATATAACCGATCAGCGGCTCTATAGCTGCTGATCAGTTGTATGTTGTGATTTGCTAGCCCCGCCCCCCATCCGACCCGTCAAATAACGCAACCGCCGCCTGGAGTGCCCCCCTTCCTGACCCCTCACCTTCAATCCCGGGATCCGCTAGCCCATCTGCGGCCCGGGACCGGCTCGGGAGGGCGTCAGGAGGTAAGGTGGGAGGGAGGTCAGCATCTTCCTCCTTGCTGATCTCCCTCTGTGCTTTGAATGTGGAAGTGATGTGTAATACATCACTTCCGCATTCACCTGTTAGTCATCTGGCTGCTATAGCCAGAGAGAAGAAGCTGATGAAGCAGATCTCTGCTTCATCAGCTTCTTTTGGGGTCCCCAGGTGACATTAGGGGTCCTAGAGACCCCTAATGTCTCCATAAAGAGGACCTGTCAGTGTGCCTTTGCTATTATATAGGGGGATTGTTATCCCACTATGTGATAGCAATAAAAATAAAAGTTTAAAAAAATAAGTTGCATAGAAAAAAAAGTTAGCCCCCCCAAAATGTTTAAGTCCCTCACCCCCACGTTTATAAACGTAACTATGCGTCAGATGCGTTAATGCGCGAAAACGACAATTGCGCTAAACATGTTACATATCGCCGCGAATGTCGGAGTGATAGCAATCATTTTAGGGCCATCAATCACTGATAACACTAAACTGATGAGCGGTAAAAGCTTTTAAAGTGTCGCCTATGGCCAATTTTGGGTAATGTAGTTTTATGAGGTTTCGCGCGCGTGCACACTTTTAAGGCTTGACATGTTTGGTACCTTTTTACCCAACGTGACCCCGTCTTTTATATTTTACCAACAAATTGGGTAATAATAAATGTTTTAGAATTTAATATAGGGGAAACAGAATTTTTTTTTAATTATCTGTAATTTTTCCTTAATATAGTAAAAAATAACCCCCCTCCCTAGTGGTGATTAAATACCACCAAAAGAAAGCTCTTTGTGTCCCCAAAAAATGGTATAAAACTCATTGCAGTACAGCGTTGCATGACGGAATAAATGTCAGTCAAAGTACCGCAGCGCAGAATACTGAAAAATGGCCTGGATGGGAAGGGAGTTTAACACCTCAGACTTCAAGTGGTTAAAGCCTATCCCTGGGCAACCAAAGAAAATAAACCTCCCCATGCAGAGGGACTGCCACTACACTGCAGGGTTAACTGCTCATTTTTGTGTCGGTGACTGGAGTAAAGCATTTGTCTTGCCTATTCCCCAAATGCCCACATCATTATACACAAAGAAAAAACATTGCTGGCAGTTTTTTGGCAGAGAAACGACGTGATGGCAAATGTGTTTGTTCCGCTTTAACTTGAACAGAGAAGGCGGTGGCATTCTTTTGGTAGTGTGATATGGCTGGGTAGAGCAGGGAAGGGTAAAACCCTCCCATCATCTCTCTTATAAGTATTTTATCTGTGTATTTAGCTGTTTTCCTAGAGTTTGGCTTTAAGACCATCACCATTAATCCAACACTTTGCAGAGAATCACTGTTCTATGTTTACAGTCTGACATAACATGGTTTTTATTTATTTTATAGATATCTCAAGGGCTATTGAGCTCCTGGAGAAGCTCCAAAGAAGTGGCGAGGTTCCCCCACACAAGCTTCATGCATTGCAGAGAGTCCTGCAGAGTGATTTCTGTAATGCTGTCAGAGAGGTGAGAATAATGTCTCTTCACTGTTAATAAGAAATGATTAGCCCTTGCAGTTGGGCTACTCCCGCTTTGCAAGGGTTAAAGCGGCCGTTTGCACCCAAAAATCTAATTCTACCAATGCACCCCTCTATGTATGATGAGTAATAATAACATAGACATGTGAGGTGTAAAATGCTGTGATTATGAAATACTTACACTTGCAGAGCATTCACTTCCTGCTTTGAAAGGGCAAAATGACTTCAGTTTGCCAAAAGCAATGCACCCTGATATTGCCTTGTCATCAGCAGAGCATTGCTGGGAAATCTCATCTGTATTCTCACGAGATCTCAGGGAAAGGCATTTTCCTCCCCTGAGATGATCTACATGGTCACATGTCCTAGTCACATGTGCCAGAAATCCAGGAAGTAAAGGGAGATCTAGTAATCTCACCTTAGTAAAAATGGCCACTGTCCAACTGGGGAAGAAAAGTGAAATAAAGGAATGCAAAGAATACAAAGCCGGCAATTATCTAGAAGTATGTGTTTGTAGATTGTGTCATTACTAAACATTTCTAAAGGTGTGTTTGTTGTTATTTAAAGATATGGGTAAAGGCCCGCTTTTGCCTAGGGTCAAAAATAAAAAAGTTATACTCAATTGATCCTCGGAGCCGGCTTGCTCTTAGACCGGTCCCTGAAGCCTCTCTTCCCCCTCTGCTGCGGTGGTCTAAGGTCCCTGAGTCATCACGTTCTATACACTGGAGGGAAGTTTATCAAAACTGGAGCAGACAGAAACTGGAGCAGTTGCCCATATTAACCAATCAACTTCTCTCTTCAGTTTGTTCAGTAGCGCTTTGAAAATGAAAGACAGAAGCTGATTGGTTGCCATGCACAGCTGCCCCAGATTCTCTCTGCTCCAGTTTTGATGAATTCCCCTTACTGTGTATAGGACGTGAGGACACCAAGGGACATATCATCACTGCAAAGGAGCAGGAGACAGGCTGGAGGGAGCACTGTCACAGCCAGACGGCTCGGAGGATCAGGGGAATATAACTTTGTTATTTTTTAACCTTAGGCAAAAAAGAGCACTTAACCTTTGCAGTGCCAGGGTAGCTCCACTGCAAGGGTTAATAAAATGTTTACCCAGGGTTCTTCTGTACATATGAAGATGTATCCAATAAAGAAAACAATAGTGAGCTGCGTAATGTAATGGCCCCTAGCAACCAATCAGACTTTTATAATGACCCTCAAGTAAGGGCCTTATGTAAGATGTAGCGCAAATACCATTCACCACTGGACACCACAATTTTTACTCAACACTGTGCATGCAATTTACAAGTCATTTATGAGATAGTTAACTATACTGGTTATGGTGAGAAAGCACTCGCATTCAAAATATGCCCTCCAGCAGAGTCGAGCCTTCTCAAAGCAGGAGGGACGGTATTCACATATCCCAAAAATAAGAGAAGTACGCCTCGTTTCAGGACAGTGGGAGGAGCCATGCAAATCATTCCTGTGCTCCCCAAACAGCCAAATGCACATCCAGAACCCCTGGTGTATAGTGCAAATATAGCCTAATATTATAGAGCCATGTATTCCATCCTGCATACAGCTGTTTCAGGCTTTTTGATCATCATCAGTGCAGTGTATGAGTCCCATGGCTTCTATAATGTAGGACTTGGGATCCAACGAGACCAGCAGTCCTGGATGTGTGTTTGGCTGTTGGGGTGTAATGGAATGAGTTGCATAGCTGTCCTGAAATGAAGAATGATCCTCTTATTTTGGGGATGTGTGATGGAATGTATAACCCCAATTCCATAAATGTTGGGAATTAAACTCCAGCAACTGGGCTCCTCAGTTCCCAGATGTTTACAGAGTGTTGTTAAAGGAAGAGGGGATGCTACACCGTGGTAAACATGGTCCTGTTCCGACTTTTATCGAACGCGTTGCTGCAATCCGTTTCAAAATTACCTTTTTTTTATTCTTAAAATGGTCCATTTTCTCAGTTTAAACATTTGATATGTATTCTATTTTCTATTGTGAATAAAATCTGGGTTTCTGATATTTGCCGATCATTGCATTCTGTTTTTATGTTTGATTTTACACAGCGTGCCAACTTTTTTGGAATTGGGGTTGTAAATACCTTCTGTTTAAGGAGTCTTTACTGTGCCACAAGTCATTTATAAAAATGAGGGTCATGGACCACGGGCATTGACCTTCAAAGTTTTCTCTGAATACCTTTTTAGTAACATTGTTCTTTAATGTTTCCCCTCACCACCCTGAGGGCCGGCGCACACCTAGGCAATTTAGTGCGGTTTCACGCAAAACACAGATTCGCATTGACGTCAATGGAGGCTGTTCACTCCTTTGCGGTTTGTCGTGCGACCATGTGCAGGAGCTATTTCCGGGCGATTGTCACGCGGTTTGGGTGCCATAGACATCTCTATGCATTGATAAACGCGTGGTTTACAAGGAACAAGTCAAGCAAGTTCCTTGTAAACCTCCTGACAAACCTGCCCCCAATTTGATCTTTTGCCCCATGTGCTCCAAGATGGAGACTCTCATAGTTTAGAGTTAGGACCGCACTATATGGAGGTGGCTTGACGCGGCTGTGCGGCTTTCACATTTTCTGCAGAAGACATGTATCTAAACCTCTGTTTTTAACCTTAGTGATTAGGCAGGTTTTTTTGCATGCTGGCTGGTGAGTGTATCTGGAAACCTTTTGCTGGTTTACAAGGAACATTCACACAATCGAAAATGCGCGATAACAGCTCAGCATCTGAATCGCCTAGGTGTGATCCTAGCCTGAGTGAAGGACAAGTAGTATAATACCTTCACCCCATCCCTGAGGTCTCCACTATGCGGGCCTCCCAGCACTTCACAGCCAATGTAGGAGAAAGAAACCCCAAATCCATATCAAGTTCTTACTGCGCTTGCGCACCACTGGCCCTATTCATTCCTATGGCTCGGTCCATACTCGCCTAGACTGGGGACCGCTGTGAGTACACACTTGCTGTAAAGTTATTTTACATAGTATTTGGGGTTGAATAAAGACATACGTCCATCAAGTCCAACCCAAAACCTGACAGTCCATCAAGTCCAACCCAAAAGCTTCAAAACCTGACAGATGAACTTTTATAAATATTTTTTTTTTTTTTTAAACAAATATATTTAGTGTTTTAGGAAAAGGCACAGTTGATGATATTGCCTTTTTTGTTTAAGGTTTATGAACATGTTTATGAGACTGTGGATATCAACAGCAGCCCAGAGGTGAGGGCCAACGCAACAGCAAAGGTAAGCTCCTTCATGTGTTTGCTCACTTGGCAATGATTCTCTACCCAAATCTTATTCTGTTTAGATGTTTTATAATATATGTTATGGCAGACCCTTAAGACCCTGTTCAGACCCGGGCGGTTCAGCTGCACGGATCCGCCGACAAGAACAATCCCATACATTGCCTTGGGGACCGTTCATGTGACCGCGCGGGTCCGCGTGATCCGAACGTCTCCATGCACTAATTTTGCCACGCTGATCAGTGCGGTTTCCATACAGAGCGGAAACGCAATTGAAAACTTCCAAAACCTCCCTTTTGAGATCAGCGCGGTAACCGTGCTGATCCACAACCGCCCTGGTGTGAATGGGCTCTTATACTGACCTAGTGCCTGTATATGTAGATGCAAGGTCATCCTGTGATTCTGATGGCTGATTAGTCAGCTCAAATTATATTGTCAAGTTATCCTTGGATGGGAAGGCAGCATACAGTAAATGTGCTTTGTTGGGTAACCGCAGTCTTATAGGAAAAAAATGTTTAATGCATTATTATTGATTTATTTATTGATATTGAGTAGGGATGCACCGATATCGTTTTTTCGGTATCGAGTGCCGATATTTTATATTTTTATTCTCGCTGATACCGAATACCGATATTGGAAGTCCCATTAAGGAAGCCGGGTGGCGTATAATGTAGAAAGAGGAATCACCAGCTCAGTAGAATAATCCAACAAGTCCATTTATTGGATATAGACGTCACACAATCACAAGAGCCAACGTTTCGAGACCACGCAGGGTCTCTTCATTAGGACATAATGACTCGCCGCCTGGCTTTCTGATTAGCAGGGAAGCAGGCTCCATGCTCCCTCGTCACCAAGTGACAAGGGAGCATGGAGCCAGCTTTCTGGCCAATCGGAAAGCTGGGGGTGGGTAATGACTCTCCGCCCGGCTTCCTGGTTGGCCAGCTTCCCGACCAATCAGGAAGCCGGGCGGCAAGTCATTACATGCTGCCTGGCTTTCTGATTGGCCAGGAAGCCAGCTCCATGCTCCCTCATCACCAAGTGTCGAAGGAGCATGGAGCCGGCTTCCCAGCCAATTGGGAAGCTGGGGGGCAAGTAATTACCCTCCTCTCCTGACAACGGGAGTTCTGGTATCGAGCTAAGTATCAGGAGCATTTGGGGCGAGTACAAGTAATAAGGTAAGTCACCACTGACGCCAATGTCCTTCTTTTGTTATCTGTAAAGGGTGAATCTTCCCAGTGACCATCACACTGTACAGTACTGTGAGCTGTTGATCAAGTAATTAGTAGCAGAGGTTCCCTGAGACCGGAAAGTTATTTCAAATGTTCCTCCATGCGAGACGGGCTGGGTTAGGGAGTTGCATACATATTGCCGTCTGTCCACTAGATGGCAATGGTAGCATACAATGCTTCACAGAAGAGCTCCATGTGTGTTATGTGTAATCTCCATGCCGGCCTTTGCTGAATGTTGGTCAGCAGTGAGGTGATTTTTATTTTTCCTCTAGAGCTGTCAGTAAAGTTATCTTCTTATCTTCCAGGCTACTGTAGCTGCGTTTGCCGCGAGTGAAGGCCATTCGCACCCCAGGGTCGTTGAACTCCCCAAAACAGAAGAAGGTCTCGGATTTAACATAATGGGAGGAAAAGAGCAGAACTCTCCCATTTATATTTCCCGCATTATCCCTGGTGGGATCGCGGACAGACAAGGCTCACTGAAGCGCGGGGACCAGCTACTGTCTGTGAATGGAGTGGTAAGAGGCGGCCTTTTCCTTCACACTCTTTGTATGAGCAGTGGGCCTTGTTTTCTGTGTCTGCAGGAAGAACTGCAACCATAACATGCACATAGTTATAGAAGGTACTAGAAGATCTGACCCCCGAAAAATAATAGGTAAGCATTAGACATGTGCAATTCGTTTCGGAAAGGTTTGTTATTCGGATGAATTTTTGTTGCAGCAAAGTGACATTAGAGGGGGAAAAAAACTTTTTTTTACAATCTGCAGAAGAGGAAAAAAATAAAAGCGTGAGGTTCCCCCCTATTTCATACCAGACTTTTTAGGTCTGGTAGGAATTTTAAGAAGGACCCCCGCTCAAGTTAAAACAAAAAAAAAGTGTGTGGGGTTCCCCCCAAAATCCATACCAGGCCCTTTAGGTCTGGTAGGTATTTTCAGGGGGGACCCCTGCCCCCCAAAAGTGGGGGGAAACGTGGGGTCCCCTAACATTCCTAGCAGACCCTTGATCTGACCGCAGG